CTATCAACCAAGGGACGTGTGTACTGCTCATCAGTTCGCTCCGTCCTTCTCTATGGCTCTGAAACATGGCCAATACGAGTTGAAGACATGAAAAGGTTGACTGTTTTTGATCATAGATGTGGTGGCCAAACAAAAACATGGCCTCATCAATCCATGAAATCCTTGACAGTTAAACTGAGTCAGGTAGGGAGGGAGATGAAGACTTCCGGATTGGGGCCCTCGGGACTGACTCTAGGAATCAATGGCTGGAGACAATAGGTGACATGGCTCAAAATCGTTGTCAATGGCCAGCGCACATGTATTCAGTCTCTTTAATCTTCCATATTCCTTTCTACCATTACCCATTCTGTTTCACTCTTATACCTGTCAAACTCTATTGATTCTCTTCACTCATCTTCTTGTCTACCTCTGTGTGCTATTTGGAACGTGGCAACTCGAACTGGTGCACTTCGGTGCCAATTTCTATGTTGAATCCAGACAGACAGACAGAATACTGCATGCCAAGACCAAGAGAGTAGAAGCCGAATGGAAAACGACTAGTTGGGAATGAGACCGAGGGCGACATGGAGGAAATCAGACTATAGGCAAACTACAGAAGATCTCAGAAAATAGGACAAAGTAGACATACTCTTCTGAAGTCGCATGAACAAAATAATACTATTTCATTTGGAAACCCTAATAGACGAGAAACTATTATGCGATATAATTTCCGTAGAAAATTCTCTACACATTCTATGAACACTTTTCAGAATAAAGCTATTACAATTATAGTTATTAAAAAAAAGACACTATCCGAGTGACAAACATTGATTCACTTTCTTAAAATCCATCCAAATACATACACATATATAGAGAAAACAAAACACGTTCACTATCTATCTACCTATCTAAGAGACATCGAATTATTTAAAAAATAAAAATAAAATTTAAAAAAAAACAGAACGAATTTGAATACTTAAATTTCCAACATTAAAACCTCCGCAATTGTCTGTATATTGTGTCTGTCATTTGTGCCGATGACTGCGCATATAAGAAGTACAAAAAGTTAACCAAATAATAATTACTCTATCTATATGAGTTAATTAATACAAATGTGTACACCATCAGCAGTAGTGCGGTGAGGCATCTCGTTCTCTGTATTTTTTCATGATTCCAACAACAACAGACAATTGTAAATCAACAAGATAGTTTTGCATGTTGTGACAACCATTCGACATATTTATGACAAGAGATATAGAAAAAAAACTTCATAAATCTCCGACAATAACCATTTTGTTACTCTATGTGGAAGTCAGTCAGGTGTCGTCAGTAAAAAAAACAGACTGAAACCAGTTTGGACAAATTTCAATCACAGGGTTGCGATAAACTACCTATTATATACAAGTATTGGTTTATAGGGATTTGGTTGATTGGTTACAGGATTCCATCGAACCATGGTGGGTGCGTACTGCTGAAGAGTCCCAAACGAGGACGAAACAGCTGTCCAGTACTTCTGTAGGTTTCCCAATGGTTCTCTAATCAATGTCAGCTCATGATGAAAATCCTGTAACCAATCAATCAAATGCCTACAAACCAATACTTGAGTATCAATGAGACGCTCACTGGCAACTGGCCCTATTCAGGTAGGTAGTTATCTGGGGTTCCAGAGGGAATTCGTGACCAGTAGGTTGCAGCAGGTCGGGTGTGAAGACAAATACTCGCCACTGAAGACATTGGCTAGCGGTTGCGCTATATCGTGAATTGGCGAAGGTAAGAATTCATGGGCCATTAGATCGGGTCCCAGCGGCTTAATGGTATACGAGACCGCTCGCCCTGGTAACCAGAACGTCCTGGGTTCAAACTCCGGTGGGTGCGCACCGCTGAAGAATCCCAAACTAGACTGACGAAACAGCTGTCCAGTACTTCAAGGTTTTCCAATAGTTCTCTAACCAATGTCAGCTCATGATGAAATCCTGTAATCTATTGCATAATATGATTGGACAGCCTAGAAGCCCAAATATGTGCAACCGACATAAATCGTTAACTGTCCGGTTTAACTTTCTGATGTATTTGCACCCGTATGAACCAGTCTATTTACCTATCACCTTTATGGTGTGCCTACTTTAGGGTCAAAAGTAATCAGGGATGAGAATTGTTGTCAAACCCACAAAAATCGGCAGGATTGGTAACTGACTGACCGGTTTTAATATAGAATTTTGTACATACATGTGCAAGTTCAACTTGCTACTCTCCCTCCATGTACCACACAAAGCAAGACAAGAGAGACAACAGAGATTCAAAAGAGAGAAGTGTGAGTGAGGGAATAAAGAATAGTAATAATATAGAAGAATAATAGACTTTCATTGGATATGACAAATCATCACAAAGAGTGGTTGGCCTTTGCGCCATAAATGTGAGCAGCTAGTCATATCACTTATTGTCTCCAGCCTTCATTGGTTCTTACCATCCGGATGACCCTAACCAGCCGTCAAGCAGTCTACATCTCCCTACGTGGCTGGCTTAAACTAACTGTTATGGATTTGATTGACTGATGAAGCCTTGCTGGTTTTGGCTTGATCACCAGTACCTTTCCCACTCTTTTCCTACTTCATTGATCGTACGTCACTTAACATTGACGGTCGAGGAGGGCGATGGTTAGGCTAGTCATGCATAACACATGTCCAAGCCATCTCAATCGACGCAGCTGCTTCACAGCTTTGTCGATTGATTTTCCATCCCTCCTTACCTGGCATTCAACCGAGGCCCCACCTCAATATGGCTCACCCTATCACACCTACCATTTAACATAGAAGATGGAACGCAGGTACATCTATGATCAAAGACAGCCAGCTATCATTTTCATATCTTCCACTTCTCAATGACCATTTCTCACTCACAGTCATAAAGGAGAATGAAGCAAACTGCCGCTGAGCAGTACACACGTCTTTTGACCGACAGACAACCGAATATCACATCTACTAAGCCAGAGATGGTGTAAGTTGGCAAATCCCAAATGCAGGATTAGTACACCATCACCAAGTCAAGCATAAAATACCTGGAAACAGTTCAACCCTCTGACCCTTCTTATTCATCCTATTTCTTGTCGATTTCTAAGAGAATGTTGCATCCTCCAACCTCCTACATTAGAAAAGTTAAGACAATCAGGTAGATATCACTAAACCTCCACTTTTACAATTTGCTAACTCCTGCATCTTACCTATTATTTTCTAGTGCTTCGCCACCTTAGTTTTTCCTAGGCTACCCAAAATAGACTAAGTCATATTGTGAAGGGTATTAACGATTGTGAGTAGGGAAAGTGGTGTGCCACATAGTCAACTCCTTGCGCTTGTAGTCAACAGACACCTTAACTCCTGTGAGAAATGGTCTAAATCCATATCGTATGACTCTCAACATCTTCTCTATCCTCAACTCTCCCCACCCCATCCTACTCACTGCATCTCATTACATAGGACAGGAAGAAATCATTATAAAAGATCATATACTCGTGTGTACAACCAAATACAAAAATTCAACGATAGCCTATTTAGCTCGTCCACATTCTTTGTAATAGAGAGATAGTGTTAAGTGAGAAACCTACGACTTATTCTGTTATTAGCAAAATAAATTGGCTCTTTTATCCTGCTCTCTTAAATGTAATCTACGAGATGGTAACAATTCCACACTGTCATAAATACTATTTTGAAATAAAGCAAATTATTATCATAATTAAAAAATTTAATGATCGGTAACGAAACACGATATACAGGGCTGAAATGTTCTTTGAAAAACCAACAAGCTACAGAAAATAGAGGCAAAACGTTACATTTTTGTTTAGAAGAGAATATGTGACACTATTTGTATGGTGTATGGTGAAACAGGCAAGTTAATTTAAGCCCTACAGAGGTCAATCGCGAGCTCAGTGATAAGTCTCTGACTGCAGCGTTGGTTGACGCGCGTTCGAATCTCAGAAGAGACGTGAGTTCCTTCAAGGTTGCAGATACTCCCTGCTGGCTGACTGTTGAGTGCCAACTAGCACGAAACATAGGTCCTGGCAAGGCTTCCTGTGGCCGATTGCCTCCAACTATCTAATATCATCACATCAATGTGCACCATGATGGCGAGCTACCTAGAATGGTGGCCACATTGCAAACTTTACTGACTGATAGAATTCAGTCTGTACTAAAGAAAGGACTAGACACGTCACACTAGTTACTGACTAGTGTCCAATCAAGAAGTTAATTTAACTTTATTATTATCCGTATCATCTCTGTAGATTTGTCCTTACCAAAAAACACTGAATCCCTTTCTCTTCGGGTGCCTGAAACAGATAGTGTGAAGTGCTATAATAAGGTGAGCAATATTGAGGTTAGACATCGGTCGAGTGCTAGGTAAGGAGGGGAAATCAATTGACGAAGCTGTGAAGCTACATCGACTGAGATGGTTAGGACATGTGTTACGTATGCCTAGTCATCGCCTTCCTCGACCGACGGGCAACGTTAGCTGATATAGGGTCAGGCTGGAAAAGAGCTAGCAGCGGTCAAAAAAAAACATGGCACCAGTCAATGAAATCCACAACAGTTAGTTTAAGCCAGCCATGTAGGGAGGTGTAGACTGGCTTCGTAGTTGGGGTCCTCACGACGGTAAAAACCAATGAAGGCTGGAAGCAATTGGTGATATGGCTCAAAATCGTTCTCAATGGCTGGCGCAGATGCATCCACTCCTTGTGACTTATGATTTCCAATGAAACTGTGTGTTTCGTTCTTCGTTATTACTCTTCCTTTGTCTCACACCTCTGTTTACTGTCTCTATTATGCTTTTCTTGTACTTTCTTCTCTTGCTTTGTGTGATACATGGAGGGAGTGTGGCGACTTGAACTATCGCACATATGTGCAAAGTTCTATGTCGAAAACAGACAGAATCCCTCTCTCATCTCAGCCATAAAGCATTCCTCACACTACTCGTCAAGTGAGACAAGAAAATGAGAGAAAACACACAACAACAACAACAACCCCATAACTTACTTCCACACTTTGACTTTCTTTAGCAATCGATTCTTCTTCTTCAGCTGCTTCAATTTGACGCCGTCTTGCTTCTATACGACGTTGAATTTCAGCAATCATTGATGATTTTTGATCAATCGATTCTTTTCTCAGCTGTTGCATTGAATCTGTACGTTTTACTGTATGCACATGATCTGTACTATTAGTGACATTAGTTTGTCCAATAGACGCTAATAATGGTGGGGGCAAAGGTGGTGGGGGTGGCGGAGGCGGAGCCGGCGATTTTGTTGTTGACATCTAAAAGGGTAAGAGTATAAATGTGAACACTGATGAAAAGCAAGTCGGAAAGGTATAGCAGACTCTGAAATCAGATTAGAAACTTCTTTACTCAACATAAGGAGCAAAACTCTGATTTTTCAACACCAACGTTAAATTAGTCAGTCCTTCTAAACGGATCAGACACCTGATGGATTTCTAATAGGCTCCTGGCAGACTTTTATCTATCAACAGCTGCACACTTATCTGGCTCCATATTGAAGATCAGACAACCAGAAACTCTGGGAACGAATCATCAAGAGCCTATTGCCTAACAAATATGTAGAAAAAATGGAGACAGATTGGGCATACACATTGAGGAGACTGTCGAATGACATCACGCGCAATGCAGGCCATAGTTTGAGTGGAATCCCAACGGTAAACAATGAGATTAGCGTAGGTCTGAGAGTGACATAGAAGCGATCGTGTGAGGAGGAGATTAAAGCTGATGGACAGTTGTTGAGCCAGTTAAAGAGGACTCCAGAGGACAGGATAAAATGAAGACGTGCTGTTGAAGTCCTACATTCCATTAGGGACGCAGGGAATAATAATAATCATAATTATTAATATAGAAATTAATCAAGACACTTGAAACAATAAAACTAAGAGCTATAAATAATCTAAGTGTTCGGAAAAAAGCTTCAAATTTCATATGACAGTAAATGGTACTGGCGTAAATTCAACAGATGAAAGCGACACTACTCATTATAACGACTATTATTACTATCGGTGTATTAACAGTCAGCAATGCCCTAACTTAATATATATATATGAATGGGTGGAGAAACTGAACCTCATGCAGCAGGTGACTCTATCTCACACGCATGTTCTGACCACCAAAAATTCGCGGTCCTTATGTAAATACTATCTAATCTTGCGCATGAGCAACTTTCGCGTATTGTTATATTCGCTGCCAGCTCGGATGGACCAGCATTCATCCAGGAGTTACAAAGAAACTTGTAGAAACCCAGTAGTTTTTAGCGGAACATTCTTTTAGGCTGCAAATGGCCACACTCTTCATTTTCATGGTACCTTGCAGATGAAGCCAATGTTCATCTATACTACTCGGGGGTTGCTATCAAGCCTTGAATGTAACTCAGTCTGGTATTTCAAAAAGGTAGCAGATGCTACCAGTTTGCTCACATCAACATTTAGATGATGCCGTTTATGAATCCCACCAAATTGCAAGACGAACATGTCAGACAATAAAGCATGACCGGAGTCCAGGCATGTACTCCAGAAGGAGCGACAGTCTTGTATGCATCCTCGACACCGGAAACTGACAGCATTATGATCAATCCGAGTGCAGACTTGATTAGAAAAAGGAAGACACCAGGTAGCGCTGCGATGATGGCTGTGCCGGAAGTTAGTGCTGGCTAGAAATAGGTTGTGATCTGAAAAAGCTGCAGAAGACGGTCCCCATTATCCAACCTGCGACCATGTAAACCCCACTGACCACCTAGACAACTGTCCTCTGCGCCCAGAAACCCGACCTATGCATTCGACTCCCCAGCCAGCACTATGATATCTTTCCAATGTGCCTGTTTCAGGAGATCACTCAGTTGGTAGTAGAACTCATCCTTAATCGCATATGGGCTGCAATCCATCGGTGCACTGACAGAGACAACAAACAGGCACCGCCTATCTGGTCTACCGCTCCTTACTTTTGTAAAACCTTCCAGTCTCACAGCACATGAACGATTGTTAATGGGAATCCAGTCGAGTATTACAGCTTTGACTTTAGCACTTAGTGCGACATTGGCTATGCCGGATGTCAACGCCGAAGAGTCCCTGGATAAGCGCAGGTGGTATATACTACTTGACCTATAGGATGGAGAGGGTGATCGAAGCACTTAACTGGGATCTTGAATGCAGATCTCCAAAATGCAGCAAACATCGATAGCTAGGCTTCACATTATTCTTAAGAAACCTCCCTGTTGTCCGATTTGCATCAGTATTTGTGGCAAGCTTGAAAGTGGCGCGCGGTTTTAGGAAATCTGTGCTAGAAGTCCCACTGCAGACCATTTTGAAGGCTACTCACCAACATCACGAAACATCACAGACAGAAGCGAAAGGCTGACAAAAGTGAAGAAGTCAAAGATAGCAAGAGTTAAAACACAGGAGTCTGTGTATAAGAATAGAGGGATGGTTGGAAAGAGATGCGTCCCTTGAAACATAATTTATGTTTGAAAGGATTGCTACGAGCGAGCGATAAGTTTCACTGGTAGTTTGTTGCTTCATTTCATTGATTGTATGAGGGCTGAGATACTACCCGGGCGCCCAGAGCGAAGCAAGTGGATGTCTTAAGAGACAACCTCCGAGCTATTGACATATGTTTAATCCTCAAGGCAGCGGGGTGGCGTCAGGAGCTACGTTCCCGTGATTGCCGGTGACCAACACAAGTTCATTTGCCATTAGATCCAATTGGATCCTGGAACCCATGTACCTCATAGTAACTGCTTTTGAACTAACCACTATCCATGGTAGGACCTGCAAGAACGAAATTCCCAGACAATGTAGCCTGTCGGGTCATCGAAGAATTCAAGCCCGATCACCACGACAAGGTAGCAGATGTGGGCCGGTGCTAGTTTGAGACTCTTGATGGATTTGATCCAGACCCAGTAAAGACAAAACAAAAATCCATATTTCCCTGGTTTTCAATTGTTCTCCAACCGACATCAGTTCATGATCGAACATGAAATTTATCAAATCCCTGCAAACTAACATTTTCAAATGAAGTATCACTTGAAAAAGGTTTCATGCTTACAGATGATTGTGTCATTCAGTCCTGTAACCGGACGTATGAATACTATTCTACTTAAATTGGAATTCTGGTTGTATAGAGCTCTGGTGAGTGAGAAATGTCGCCTATTTAGTAAACAAAATGACCTTGCCTCTTAGCTTTCAGTTAGCACTAAAAAAGAAACTATTTCATAAAGTAAACAATCACATCACTAGAAAAAAAAGATCACGTCAATGTTACAACATAAAAAACAGATAAATCAGCATTAAAGTGAACAATTTTCGGAATAGTTAGTTACCATTATGGTTTAAAATATAAGTAAGCAGGTAAATAAGTAGATGGAGCTATGGTTGATCGGCTTAGCTAATAGACCTCCAAACATTAAGTATATATAACAAGCCATGCTCCAGTTGCTGAGGTTAATAATAATAACAACAGTAATTTACTTTATCCCAAAACAATACTTGTGATACAGAATGGAATTCTCAGCATTTCACTACAGTATGACATCCAGTTAGTACATTATCAATAAAATAAAATTCTACATAGATTAAGGGTAATCTCAGTTCATTATGACAACAACACATTAGCATATCGGTAGCAAAGTCAAAAGTGACCAGAGTGTTTGAAGGTGTTAGAAAAATAGATACTAGCATGTACAGAATGTGAAGGAAAGAAGAAGAATGTTCTAAGTAGAGTTTGAGGAAGAAAGAAACAAAGCACCACATAACAGAAAAACAGAGAGAGAGAGAGAAAAGGAAAAGAAAGTGTTGTACCTTAAATGATATGAAGAGTTGGAAAGACGAGATCCAGTTGTTCTACTGACTATTTAATAAGTTATAGGTATCACACTTAATGCTTTCTTTATCGCACAGAACAAGAGTTAAGAAGGGTATGCTTGAGTTTTTGTACTTGCTGGTGAGAGCATATAGTTTTCTATATAAGCTTCTAGTTCTGCCTGATACACAGGGAGAGTTAAGAATGAAGAGGGTGTTGTGAGTCAGTTAAAATGGATTTTGCCCATTTTTCACATGAGTCCATGTGTCTGTCAACCAGAATATTAACAAGCTGGTTGGTTAAGTGGCGCACTGCTTACCCTGCTGACAACCTTCAACATCCTGCGTAATAAGGTATAGTCTTTCTTCAGTAGCCCTGGAAAAACTAAGGGGGAACAATAGAGAATAATAGGCAGAATGCGAGAGTTAACGAATCGTAAGAGTAAGGGTTGGGTTATTCCAGAATGTCTTAACTTCTTGATGTAGAAGGTAAGACGGAGTATTTTCTTAGAAATCATCAAGGTATGAGACGACCAGGAAAGATCAGCAAATAGAATGACTCCAAGGTTTAGGGAACCACGCAGTTCCGTGGTTGTAAAAGCAGACACTCATCCCCTAATTAAGTTTAAAGGTCACATCGTTGAATTGGAATGGTACCTACAGACTGGAAGAAAGTAAGGATGTGCTGTTGTAGCTGTGTATGTCTCACTCAGAACCTAAGGGAAGAATAACTAAGAATATACAATAACATTGGATTTGTATTGGCACACACTATTCAGTCTTCATATTTCAAACTTGTAACTTATAAGTCTTGTGAAGTAAGTACAAAATTAGTTGTGATTTCCCTTTAGAGCAATAGATCTTTGCCTGCTCCTTCAATCTTTTGAGTCTTTCTCATGGTGAGAAATGTAGTTGATAGATCAATGAGGTCGAATGTAATACTTTTTCAGTGACAACAGTCAACGTCTACTCAAAGAGTATATGATTCATAAAAATCGATGAAGTTCAATACTTACTTGATTGGTAGCAGCAATGTTAGAAGATGGTGGTATTTTCATTTCTGTAGATTGACAACGTGTTGTTTTATTCCGCATACGTGCAGCAATAGCTTCTTGTAGCAAAGCAGCTAATCCAGATGATTCAGACTGCTTCATTAATTCATCTTCATGAGGTGGTGGTATTGATGATGACGATGATGCGCCTAAAATGTCTCTACTACCGGCAACAACACCATCAGATTCACGACAAGCTATTAAAAACAAAAAGGGAGAAATGGCAGAGAAAATAAAATGATGGATAAAGGAGGTAAAGTTGAGCAATAAGACGATAAATACTTACTTACTATGATGAAAATAAGTGTGGCCTGCATAACACTCCATACAGATTTCCCAGCACGAATACAAGGGGCTCGTTTCGCATTTGTTAGTTTACGCCGACTCTGGCGTAGACGAGATGTTCGACTATCGACCAAAGGGCGGGTGTATTGCTCATCAGTCCGCTCTGTCCTCCTTTATGGTTGTGAGACCTGGTCACTGAGAGTGGAAGACATGAAAAGACTAGCTGCTTTCGATCATAGGTGCCTGCGTTCTATTTCCCGTGTAAAGTGGCATAATAAGGTGAGCAACATGGAGGTTAGGCGTAGAGTTCTAGGTAAACAGGGGAAATAGATCGACGAAGTCGTGAAGCTACATCGACTGAGATGGTTAGGACATGTGTTACGTATGCCAAGTCATCGCCTCCCTCGACGAGCTATGTCAGCGGATATAGGGTCAGGCTGGAAAAAAGCTAGCGGCGGTCAAACAAAAACTTGGCCTCACCAGTCAATGAAATCCACAACAGTTAGTCTAAGCCAGCCACGTAGGAAGGTGTAGACTTCCAGGCTGGGGTCCTCGGGACGGTAAAAATCTATGGTTGGAAACAATTGGTGACATGGCTCAAAATCGTTCTCAGTGGCGCAGATGCATCCACTCCCTGTGACTTATGATCTCCAATGCAACTGTTTTGTTTTTCTTTATTACTCCTGCTTTGTCTCACACCTCTGCTCACTGTTTCCAAATCCAATATCCAATCCAATATCGTTTTTACGAGCTAGTATAAACCAATTTGATTTCTTTGTGCTCGCCTCTTGATTGTGAGGTATAGGTTCTTGATCTTCGGTAAACTTCTGCGTAGCTTGTCCCGCCACTCGACTGTCGTAGCTTTGGTTGACTCCAAAGGGAGTAGTGCTGGGATTAATTATATGTGGTTTGTAGTATGAGGTATGTTAAGACTGTTACTACTGTGATTGGAGTTGATCCTTTCGCCAGTTAGTCCTTCGGTATTGTCGACAAGAGAAAAGAGATAGTAATAATAATAATAATAGTAATAATAATAATAATAATAATAATAGTAATAATAATAATAATAGTAATAATAATAATAATAGATATAATTAGTGAAGCTATTCAGACTAAGAGACAGAAACGAAAATAGGAAACGTAACAACAGTCAGCTCATGAAGTTTGAAGAATAATATATATATCAGTAATAGTAATAATAATAATAATAGTAATTATAATATTAATAAGTTGTCAGGAGAGTAAGACGGGAGAGAATGTAAAGAAGTAAAAATAACCGTATGGGTCGCCATCTCCAGTGAACAGATGATCGTATTTACTAATTAACTCTGTCACATTGTGTACCGTCGGCAGCTTAATCGCTGCTATCTCGCTGGTCTCATACATGTTGATATGCCCGTATTTCGTGACCACCACGTTCGCTTGCGTGTCGATTATGGCACCAATCTCACGCAGAAAATCCGCTCCTAATATCGTTCGCTGTAGTTCGGGTACAACAATGAAAGGAAACGTCACCTCGCAGCCACCAACAACGACCGTACAGTTCGATCTACCCGTGATACGCAACACATACCCGCCTACTGTTTGTACTGTCAATGAACACGGGCTAACACTCTTACATAAATTCTTATCTATTAACGACACGGCCGCCCCTGTATCTATCAAACATACTACTTCTCGATCATTCACTCGCAACTTCGAATACAGAGCCCTTTCTCAATAGCCCCCACTAAATCTAGGTTCATACGAAAGAAAGAACAAGCATTATACCGTCTGAAATTTTTTCTTTTCGCCTTTCTGGGCAGTATCTTCTCCAGTGTCCCGGCTTACCGCATTCAAAACACCGGTCTTTTCTATCAGCCAACTTTAACGCCGCCACTTCCCGCTGCAATGCTTCAATTTTCTGCTCATATTCGTTTGGTTTTGGTTGGTCTATAGCGGCTACCGTTGTGCTCAGCAGCTGTCTGGTCACCTTCGCCAGCTCGCTAATATCCATCGGCTGCGTTGCGTTAACCAGTTGTAATCGCTGAGAAATGTGGTCTGGGACACTCTCGATGAATTGGGAAGACAGTAACTGCGCTTCTGATTCTTCATCTAAAGTGGGAAGCGCGCGTCGAAGTAGATTAGTCAGTTTCACCGCCAACACTAGCGGGTCTCCATCAGGTCCAAGCTTCATTGACCGGAACTGCTGCATTGCTAGCTGTCTGTCTGTTTCGCTGTCAAACTCGGACACTAGTCGTTCAACCAATTTCTTCCAAGACGCTGTGCCATTTGACCTGTCTACGCTGTCATATGCAGCCTTCGCTCGGCCTCTCAACAGCGTCCCCAAGACAACTGCCTTCGCTGCCTGCTCCTTGACACCCACCAGCTCAGCAACAGCCTCGAAGTCACGTAAGAAGCTCCTTATGTCTCCTTCTTCAAACGCAGCTGGCCACGGGATCTTCATTTTTGGAGGCAGCGACACCAAATGTAACAACAGAAGACAAGGGCGAAGCAACAGATCGTTTTATTATGAAAATCAACACGTATTTATACATATTTCAACTACATTATTATAGACAAGCGCAGTCATCTGATTGGTTGTTTCGGGATTCCTTGACAAATAGAGTTCTCTATCTGCGAATCATATTTTGCCACGTTAACTTTGCTGTGATTGGTTGTTGACTCAGCTTGTTCATATTTTCTCACGGCCCATATTAGTGACCTAGACCTTAACGTAGATTAGTGCCAACCAATCGGCTAGCAGCCTGCTCTCACCACAATAGGTGCCTGCGTTCTATTTCCCGTGTAAAGTGGCATAATAAGGTGAGCAACATTGAGGTTAGGCGTAGAGTTCTAGGTAAACTGGGGAAATCAATCGACGAAGTCGTGAAGCTACAAAGACTGAGATGGTTAGGACATGTGTTACGTATGCCAAGCCATCGCCTCCCTCGACGAGCAATGTTTGCAGATGTATTCAATCTCTGTAATCTTTCATATTCCTTTCTACCATTACCCATTCTGTTTCACTCTTATATTTGTCAAACTCTATAAATTCTCTTCACTCATCTTCTTGTCTACCTCTGTGTGCTATTTGGAAGGTGGCAACTCGAACTGGTACACTTCGGTGCCAAGTTCTATGTTGAATCCAGACAGGATATAGGGTCAGGCTGGAAAAAAGCTAGCGGCGGTCAAACAAAAACTTGGCCTCACCAGTCAATGAAATCCACAACAGTTGGTCTAAGCCACGTAGAAAGGTGTAGACTTCCAGGCTGCGGTCCTCGGGACGGTAAAAATCTATGGTTGGAAACAATTGGTGACATGGCTCAAAACCGTTCTCAGTGCTGGTGCAGATGCATCCACTCCTGTGACTTATGATCTTCAATGAAACTGTTTTGTATTTCTTTATTACTCCTTTGTCTCACACCTCTGCTCACTGTTTCTATTATGCTTTTCTTGTACTTTCTTCTCTTGCTTCGCGTGCCACACGGAATGTGGCGACTTGAACTTCCCCACATTTGTGCAAAGTTCTATGTCGAAAACAGACAGAGACAGACAGACAGACAGATTTCCCATACCCTCTACATTATGAGTCTATCTGGATTCAACATAGAAATTGGCACCGAAGTGCACCAGTTCGAGTTACCACGTTCCAAATAGCACACAAAGGTAAACAAGAAGATGAGTGGGTTTGACAAGTATAAGAGCGAAACACAATGAGTAATGGTAAAAAGGAATATGAAAGATTACAGAGACTGAATACATCTGCGCTGGCCATTGACAACGATTTTGAGCCATGTCACCTATTGTCTCCAGCCATTGATTCCTAGAGTCCCGACAGCCCCAACCCGGAAGTCTACATCTCCCTCCCTACCTGACTCAGTTTAACTGTCAAGGATTTCATGGATTGATGAGGCCATGTTTTTGTTTGGCCACCACTTACTCTTTTCCAACCTGCACCTTTATCAATCAGCTAGTAATTCCCGTCGGCGGGGGAGGCGATGGTTAGGCATGCGCAACACGTCACCTAGCCATCTCAATCTATGTAACTTTATAGCCTCGTCGATTGATTTTCCCTCTTTGCCCAACACTCTACGCTTAACGTCAACATTACTTACCTTATTAAACCACCTAACGTGAGAAAGAGATCGCAGACATCTACGATCGAAAGTAGTCAACCTTTTCATGTCCTCAACTCGTATTGGCCATGTTCCAGAGCTATAGGTAAGCTCGTAGACCAGCATTCATATTATCAGTCATATTTATTGTGTGCAAACTAATAATACCCTTACTTGGTCTCCTTTAGACATTGGTGGATAGGAGCAGATTTCAGCTTAGTAACACCAAAAGTATTTCCAACCGAGAGATGTTAACGTTCATCTACACCTGCCAACATTGGCACGGTACGGTAGATTAGATGGCTAGAAAAGGCAAGTAACAGGGAACTCTAACCGAGAAGAAGACAATGATCTATCCTCACCCCCCCCAACAGATTGGTAGGAGGAAATTGATATTCTCTAAGGAGATGCATTCAAGTGGAATTACAAGCCACACAAACACTTAAGTGGTGCCCAAACAGATGGTGAGGAGTTGGGGGTTCAAGAGTGACATAAAATAGATCATTTGAAGAGGAAGAGATAGTTGGTTGGCGGTCATGGAGCTAGGAGCTAGCCAGAGAAACGATTGGAATGGTGACGCTTCTCTAAGAACCTGCGTTTCACCTGAACCTCAAGGAGTGATTAATAATAATAATAACAATAATAATAATAATAATAGCTAGAAGTCGAAAGCCAAATGAGAAAGTCCAGTGACGCAGTGTTAGCAACTGGTTGACAAGGTTTCCAGCATAAATAAGTATGTCTTACCACCCTGTGGCGAAACACTACAGGGTAAGTTGGAATGTACAATTTCCGCAGTCGGACATTTTTAACTC